CAAGGATGGCTCCAGAGCTAACTAATTTATGCAGCAGCCAAATGGCTTGCTCACAATTTTACTGCCAGTCGCTCACAGAGTAGAATTTTTGCTCACAGGACTCCACAGCTTAGAGGGAGCATTGCTTGTGAGGTAGGCTAGGCTGAGAGTGTGTGACTGGGGCATGGTTACCCAGCAAGCTTCCAAGGTAGAGGGGGGGGGATTCAAATCTGGGTCTGTCAGATCCTAGCCCAGCACTCTAAGCAGTACACCACACTGGCTCTCGTCATATGCCCCGCCCCCCGTACCTCACCCGGGGGAACTGCGATCCCCCGCGATCCCCCCCGAAATGACCTCTGGTGGCAGGCATGGTGAGAACTGAACACTCCCTGGGCCTCATTTGTTTGGATGATTTTTGGCTGTTGTTGCCTGAGAACGCTTCTCTTTGGGGGGGGCGCTGTGGTCAGGAATAAGAGTCAGCCAGAGCCAAAGCTTGATCACCTGCACATACCATGTAGACCTTCCCAGCTAGAAGAGGAGCCACCGTCAACTAGGTGCACTTTCTGACTTAAATAATTGAAAACATGTATTTTAAAAGAATTTGTGAAGTTAGAATGGCAGCATGTAAAGTTCAAGCAGCTCCCCCCACCCCCCAAAGTCTAGCTTCCCCTTCCTCATCCCCCTGGCTTGTATCAAAAGTCTTATCTATCGCAGATAGCCTTGGTTCCTACCGTGTTTCCCCGAAAAATAAGACACTGTCTTATATTTATTTTTTCTCAAGAAGACACACTAGGGCTTATACCACAAATGCATAGAAATCCTGCTAAGGCTTATTTTTTTGGGTAGGTCTTATTTTCGGGGAAACAGGGTAGTAATAGCTTCAAGCAGTTAGTCATATTATAACTTGTAGTTTAGGTTCACCTGACAGAATGTAAGTACCCTCTGTTCCTCACAAGGCCAAAGTCTGCCAAACAAACCAATATTCAGGATGTTGGGCCTGTCTGTGTGTGATAGAAGTGCACCTACAACCCATGTCTGGCCCTTCCCCATCATGGCTTACAGTGTCTAGCCAAGAGGGTGTGACGATTTAGGGTCAGAAGACAGTAAACGCCTGCCTAAAAGCGGGGGAAGCCCCAGCCACCTTAAGGAAGGTACCTGTGAGAGAACTCCTTTAAAAAATCTTTCCTGAACAAAGAATATTTTACCAACAAAAATGTTTTTACCATTTGGGGTGAGGCGGTGGCTGCATTACTGGGTGGCCCTGATTGTGTCGACCCGTTTCAATCTGACTTCTGGCCAGTTATGGAACTGAAACCACCTTGGTCACTCTGGTCTTTGATCGGTGCTGGAAGAAAGACAAGGGGAATGCAGTCCCGTAGATCCTTCTGGACCCCTTCGTCATTTTCATTAATATTACCCTTGGAATTCTGCTGCACCACCTGCCTGGGATGGGAACTGGGGGGCTCTGGGTCCCAGTGGCTTGATTCCCATCTGATAGGTAAGTTCCAAAAGGGGCAGGGCTCAGTAACAGCTGCCCCATGCCATTTACTCTGTGAAGTTCCACAAGAATCAGTCTGAGGAATTTCAGACAGGCGATCTATTCCGGAAGAGGAACGGTTCCCAAACGGTTTCTCGTCTGTCATTTCAGACAGAACCGTTTGAGAACCGGTTCCCTTCTGGAATATATTTGTCATTTCATACACAATCGCTTCTGTCCCGTTTAGGAAACGGGGCTGAAGCGTTTTACCTGTCAACCGCTTCCAAGTACTCCTCAGTTTCCTCTCCCGGTTCTGATGTGCTTTTTCCGACCGTTTTTCGCCCGCGCCAGCAATCTCCGGCTTTTTTGGGGGGGGAACGTTTGCTTTATAGCGCTATAACGCTATAACGGAATAGCATTATATCAATCCCATTGGAATGCATGGAGTGTTTTGTTATACTGTTATAGTGCTATAGAGCTCTAAAGCGAATGTTTTTTAAAAAAAAAAAAAGCCGGAGATCGCCCGCACGGGCGAAAAATGGTGGGGGGAAAGCAGGAAAAAGCGGTGCAGTCTGAAATGGCAAACCGCTTCAGATCCAGCTCTTTACCGGAAGGGGAAAGCCATGTGTGAAATGGCAGCTCTATACCGGTTCACTTCAAAACGGATCATTACCGGCTTGAAACCGGGTGAAACTGGGTAATGTGAAATTTCCCTCTTTCTCTTAATCTAACGCCTGCGTGAAACTCTGGGAAGAGATTATCCATAAATTTGGAAGGGTGTGTGCTAATACCACCCAGCTCCGTTCCTCCTTTTCATCACACCTCATCCCTTTTCCTCCAATTCAGTTGAGGCTGTGGATGTTCCGAACAGGTGACTGGATTCAGTGATGGATGAGGGGCCTCTAAACGGAAGCCCAGTCCAGACAAAACAGAGGGTTCTGTTGAGTGATAGAGAGCTTGATCCAGGAGTTAGTATTTGGCATGTTAGGATGAAGTTAAACTCCCTGAGATATCAGGTTCGCAGCTTGGTTAGGCTGTAGTTCACAGCACTTTTCACCAGCTTCAACTGGTGAGAAAATCAACCTTGCCAACATTAACCACACTTTAGTAACACTGTCAGGAATGTTCAGAAATGTCAGCTGGTTCAACAGGCTGTGGTTCGCAGGCCGGATCACATCTTTGCCACTACATAAAGTGATCAATAGCTACCAGTTTGTTCCTGAGACAATTCAGAATGCCAGTTCTTACCTGTGAAGCCCAAATGGTTTAGGATCAGGATGGCTGCAGCATCATCTGCCTCTCTGTGAAGGTCTCTTATGAGGTCCTGCCCATATGCATGGTTGGTTGAAACATCACTTTTTCCATTATGGCACTCAGACTTCAGAATGCATTCCCATATGTGTGTATTCCTTGAAGTGCCTTCCATATCATCTGGTGGTAGGGCTCTTTCAGTGCTCACAAATGGTTTCTGTTTTGTTATAAGAGATTGTTGTGTATTGCAATTTATTGTTTCCCATTTTGGTTGTAAATGACCTCGAAGGCCTAGATTTGAAGGAAGAGAGAAGGATAAAAATTTAAGTAAACAAACAGGGCTATGCTATGTTGTTGTTATATTTCTATTCCTGTAGATTATATTATCACTGTAGATTTGGAATTTCCTCTCTGAATCTCTACTCTAGGCATTTCAGCATCTTACAACAAACAACTAAAAAACCCTACTGGTATCTTCTTAGCTGAGAATACAAAAATCCAAGGCTATGGGGGTAAAACAGATTAGTGAATCCTTGTATAATATTTCAGATCTAGTACCATGAGAACTTGAAATCTGGTGAAGGAAAGCAGAAGTTCTCCAGAAATACTGCTTAAGATTTTTAGATTCAGCACTCCTAGTGACATTGGATGACACATGGGAAGAAAACAGCTTTAGATTTTGCTACTTTTCTGAAATATCTAGATGTCAAGAAAGTAGAGTGAAGGGTTCCACTTATTTGCAAGGTTTTGTCTTAAAAGTTTGTTTAGAAGTCAGTCATTTGCATGTCCTTTTTTCTTCCCCCAATACAGATAATCAGGAATATTTTGAGAGACACCGTTGGCCCCCTGTCTGGTACCTTAAGGAAGAAGATCATTACCAGCGGGTCAAAAGGGAAAGGGAAAAGGAAGACATTGCTCTGAATAAGCATCATTCGAAACGCAGGTGGTGCTTCTGGAATTCCTCCACAGTTGTTGCCTGAGAAGGAGAGAAAACTGGCAAGAGTGTGACTCAAGGAAAACCCCGCTGCTTTAAATAGCAAAGTCTTATTAGAAAAAAGGCCAGCGTGGACCATTCTTGTGCCAAGTGCCATTGGAATGAATGGGAGCTGCCCAAGCGCAGCTACTTGGGCAGCTCCCATTCATATCATTGGAGCTTCCGCAGGGGAAGATCCTGGCCAATCCATTGGTTGAGGCGCTGGCTCTTATTCCACCCGTGTGCATTTATCATCTATGAGGTCAGAAAGCACAAGCTCACTGGAAGTGAGTGTGAAACAGCTCCTTAAAATTTCAACTTTTACTACATTTTTAATTAATAAGCTAAAATAATGTTTAGACCAGTATCACATTTCTTTCTTTTTTGGGGGGGAAAAATGCAAAAACATTAATCTTCTGAGTGGAATAGTATTTTTATACGATTTTGTGTGTGTGTGTGTGTGTGTGTACGTAAAGGTCTTTAACCAAAATTTCTGAATCCTTTACTTTTACAGACCACTAAGTCACGATGTGAGTCAGTCTTTAATTTTGATCATTTAGGTTATGTGTTCTCCTCCCCCAATTCCCTTCTGCAAGCACAGTGAAATATGCTTAATCTCTCAAATCAGCCTCTCGGGTAAAAATTGCCAGCCTAGCAACAAACTGAATTCGCTAGGCAACTACTTTTTCTTCCCCTTTCAAGAGCTGTGTATTCATAACAACTAGATCCTTCTTCTTTTTCTCCCCCCCCCCCTTTCTGAAGTAAAGAAATGTAACGATATCCAATACAAAGTTATACCGAGTCAAAAACCTCCAATTAAGCTGAAGAATACAAAGTGTAATTTATCTCTCCAGCAGCATTGCTGGGTCATACATTTCCAGTGTTTGCCATGTAAGGGCAGAATTGCAACAGCCACGTGAAATTTGATAACTGTTTTTATGTATTTCTGGGCTTCAGAATGTCTATTTTCAAGAAGATAATTTAAAAAATAATAATTAGAAGAGCTTATTAAATTAATGTCTCTCTGTTCACTGCAAATTTCCTAAGGGTTTGAATTCTAAAAAGGAGTATTTTCAGTTATTTGGATTGTTTCTGTTACATTCTCTATGCCTGTTTTTTTTAAAAAAAAAAAAAATGCTCCAGATTGTTGGTAAACCTTTTTGCTTCATTGTGGGCATCCACATGTTTAAAGGGCTGCTGAGAGTAAGCTGATCCCTTCCGTTTCCAGCATTTCAGTAACAAAAAAGCAAGTATCCCGATTGCATCATAACAGCCTTTTGCCAGCTCAGTTCCAGAAGAGAAGCAAAAACAGCCGTGAGTAAACACTCGTGTGAGGATTCCGTGTGCATCCCAGCATGTAGAAGCACCCTTCCCCAGAGGAACTGAGTCCTCTGCATGCCAGCGATCCATACATGCAAGTGGGCCCTTTTTATACATGCTTGGGACACATAAGAAACCCTTGCACCGGTAAGCGATGTTTCCTCTAAGCTGTGGAGTCCTGTGAGTAAAAACGCTACTTTGTGAGCTACTGGCATTAAAGTTGTGAGTGAGCGATTTGGCCCCTCCATCAATGAGTTTGCTCTGGAGCCATCCTTCCTGAGCTAAGACCAAAATGTGTGAGCTGGAGGCTAAAAACCTGTGAGCTAGCTCACACTAACTCAGCTTAGAGGGAACACTGCCGGTAAGTGCTTCACCCATGGCTGCCGTCTGTTTTGGCTGTGAGAGGTTACTTGAGTCAGTAAAATGTGGTTACAGAACATAGGGACTTGAAACACCACCAGGCACACAGAATGCCTACTTGGGTAAGCAGGTTAGTTTCCATTTCCAGCAGGCCTTCTTCTCCCCAGTCCAAGTTTACCAGTATTTGTAGTCTTCAGATATTCTGAACATGGTATCTCAGCAGCAACAAGCAACAAAAAGTCCAAACTTTGCCTGAATTCCTGCTTGGTGGCGAGCGTGTATAAACAGACCTCCCCCCACCCCAAGCTTCCAGTGCTTTACAGCCTCCTGTACTCAGCTATTGGTCCTCTTGATGTTGTATTAGGTATAGAAATTCTTTCTAGGTAAGGAGAGCCTGTGGCATAGCAGGTTGGGCACTAGGATCCTGAATTCACTCACCACCACCATTCAACTGAAAAGCTTATTTCTGTGACCTTGGGTTGGTCACACTCTCCGCTTAACCTGCGTCACAGGCTAGTTGTGAGGAAAAAAAGAGAGAGAGCTCACGTTTTCTTCCACAAGATCCTTGTGAGAACAATGGGATACAAACAATGTTCCCTCTAAGCTGTGGAGTCTTGTGAGCAAAAATTGTATTTTGTGAGCCACTGGCATTAAAGTTGTGAGCAAGCAATTTGGCTACTGCATAAATTAGTTTGCTCTAGAGCTATCCTTCCTGAGCTAAGACAAAAATGTGTGAGCCAGAGGCTAAAAAACTGTGAGCTAGCTCACACTAACTCAGCTTAGAGGGAACACTGGATACAAATATAATGAATAACAGAACTTTTACCTATAAAGCAGAGAGATGGACAAGTAGCAGTTCACAAGTTCTTTTTCTATTAGGCACCTAGAGCAAAGACTCTTTAAATAACTATGTAATAGCATTCAGTTTTTGCAGTGATGGGTGAGAGTGGGTCTAGGTCAGGGGTCCCCAACACGATGCCCGTGGGCACCTTCCTGGCCACCTGCCAAGGGTTGTAGAAAGTGGGTGGGGCTTTTGCCCTGCAAGGCTTCCAACTGGCCATTGGAGGAGATTTGATCAGCTGTGCAGATTTTTTTAAAATGTTGGTTTGATCGCAGCTGCCACCATAGCACAAGGACCTTCACTGAGTGAGTGAAGGTAAGTGACGGCAGCCGTTACTGGCTCTGCCTCCCGCGGCAGCCATTTTGTGGCTGCCCCCGCCGTGCTGTGTCGGGATTCAAAAAGGTTGGGAAACCCTGCTCTAGGTGTTCATTTATCCACGCCCCCCAAATGCTTTCTTATAGTGGATCTCCTCTGACCCTCCCAGTGCTATATCAACATGTTTTCCCTGTTTTCATCACCTTTGGGGAAGGGGAAACCAGTGTTGTGATGACTTCACGTTATACGCTGTTACAGCTATTACAGGGCGTGAGCAAGTGGAGAAGTATCACGAGCCAGTTGCCGGGGTAATGTCTGGGCCAGCCCACCATTTTGCGACAGAAAACGGTTGCTCAGCAGAGTATATTATACGTGGTCCACTGTATACAACAAGGACAAAAGATGTTGTCCATCCGTGCTGTATACCAGTCTTATCAGCAGTTTCAACCACAGCAGTGCCCATTGTATTGATTTTGAGGGTTCTCTTTCCAGCAGCTATGGGGAAAGAACTGTCCCTTTTGGATTATTTTAGACAGCGGCGATTTCAAATACCATAGCTGAGGCCAGGGACGGCTGCATAGGGAAAGCCACCCAACTTTCCCGAAATAATCCAGATCCCGGGTAGCAGATCCCGCCCTGCAGATGGCAGAATTTCTGCTCAGAAATCCGAAATGAAGATTCTGCCATTGCAGGAATGACTGCGTAAAGAGAGATCAAGAGCCCAGCTCCTGTCACTTACAATAGTATATTTGTACTTTGATAAAGCAAGGCTGTGAAAAGAAGGGGGACTTCAAACGTGTCAATTCTCGGTCAACTGAACTGGACAGAGGGAGGGAAGACAGAAAGAGGGGGAAATGGCTATCAAGACCTGGAGTTAATGTATCTGCTGAATCTCAAACTATGCATGACGGCAACAGACCTGTTTATTGAAACATCTGGCCGGCTCCAGTCACATTTCCATGAGGGAGGCAACAGCAAAAGGGAATGGGGTTGCCAAACTCTCCCCTTATCCGTGGCTTTCTGATCCCAGTTCTACCAGGAACCTACCAGGAAAGGCTACAGGGAGGTGTGTTACCCTCACCCATGTTGGCCACCTTTGCTCCACCTCCCATTTCAGTCATAACTGGAACCAGGCCTGGTTTAAAACAAACAGGCCTGGCTGCATTTGAATCAAGTTTGCGCCTCAGTCAAAAATGTTGGCGGGTCTTGTTTTTATGAAGTATTATTCCCAGGTTTTCTAAAAACCAAAGCTACTGTTATGATTGTAATCTTGCCAAACTTACATGGATAACACATTAAGTGAACCAGGGGTATATGCAATAATAACCGGCTGTATTAGTTTATCAGCTACTATAACCAAGTGGCTGGCTCATTTGGTTAATTCTGCCTATGGCCTTTAATCTTGGTGGGGTTTTGTTGTTGCCATTTTTTTATTTTGCAAATAATAATTAAAAAATGGTTTAGCTATAAAATGTCTCTTAATTGTTTCTGGTGTCTCATTTGTCATCTTCAGTCTTTGATCTTTTAAGAAAGCTGTTAATGCTGCCTTGACCCTGGCAAGTATTTGGATGGGAGACCCCCAGAGAATACCAGGGTAGGAAGGCCAGAGGCAGGCTATCAAGCCATTTCTCTGAATGTCCTCCATGCCCCAGTAGGAGTCACCAGAGGTCACCATGACTTCCAGACATGGGCACACACACTCACAAATGCAAGAAAAGAAAAGAAAACTGTTAATGCTTTTGTGTGGGATTATGTGGACACAAAATAATCTATATGAATGTTTTACTTGATTTTGTTGTTTTTTTGTGGCTGAGGTGGTAGAACTCTTAACAACCCAGTGGTAAGAACCTGAATAAGGATAAAAGAACATAAGAGACACCATGTTGGATCAGGACAGTGGCCCATCCAGTCCAACACTCTGTGTCACACAGGCCAAAAACCAGGTGTCATTAAGAGGTCCACCAGTAGGGCCAGAACTCTAGAAGCCCTCCCACTGTTGCCCCCCCCAATCGCCAAGGATAACAGCATCACTGCTCCAGACATAGTGTCCCATCTATACCTTGTGGCTAATAGCCACCCATGGACCTCTGCTCCATATGTTTATCCAATCCCCTCTTTTCTTTTCTTTTCTTTTTTGAATAAACTGTTTATTTCTTCGTTTGCAAAGATACATAATGAGAGCACAATTCTGCATTATCTATAAGACTAAA